AATAAACTGTTTTCAACCTAAACAAAATATATCTATATTTGAAATATAATCATAAATATATTTGAGACAACATAGATGCCTTGTTGTTAAAAATGACTTATATACTGAAGAACGTAGCACTAGCGTCCATACAAATTCAAAATTCGTAAAATAATCAATTTAATTTCAAACAAATCATTCAGATATTACAACCTAAAATCATCGATTATTTTTCGACGCATACGTATATAGTTAATATTTCATAATATTTGTTATTGTCTTATATACAATAATACACTTAAAAACGACGTTTTTCCGCTAGGTGTCTCTGCCACGTGTAATCGTAGCAGAGACATCTGGCTGGCGGCCAACTATTTTGGTGTTTAAGTGCATTTTCTACCGTCACAGAACTATCAGTGTTACTGTTTCTTGTTTCCCACATTTTATCCGCTCTCTTGCTGTTTTCTATCATCTCAAAACTATTGAACTCATGTCTATCAGGAGATAACTGTCAGTCTAGTACTGCCTTAATCTCTTCTTTCTGTTTTGGTTCCTTAGGCTTACAAAACAGGCATGTGTCCTTCAACTCTGCATCCTACAGTCCCTTGAGCATTTCATCCTTAAATTCCCCCAGGCTCCTCTTGGTAGCATAATATTCTCTGGTATCTTCACCACTTTCCTGTTTCCTATCCAGGTATTCCTGTTTCCGTTTCATCTTGTCTGCATGAGCTCTTCTGGTCTCGTCCTCTTCTTTGTCTCTTGTCTAGGTATTCCTGTCTCTGGCTTTCATAATATTTTTCTTTTGAGCATCTTTTCAACATTTCTTCAAATGCTGGTGAGACCCTTTTCAACATTTCTCTAAAAAATTCTCCTGTTCCATAGTTCTTAAATTCTAACCCTGTAGGATGAAACAGAACTATCTCTTTTCTAGCTGATTATGTGATTCAGAAATGCAGCATCCTTTTCACGTCATTATCTGGGACTGTTTCCCATTTGTAGTTAATCAGATGGGTTTCCAAATTCTTGCACCATTCGAACACTTTCTCCAGGTTTCCACTATATTTCGGAGCACTCTCAATAAAATCATTTATTCTCTCTTCAATGATTTCGAAAATTTTACACCTCTCAGTGTGCATACTCAGGGTTGCTCTCCCAGTTTCAACTGGTTTTTGCAGATGTTCCATACGTTGTTTTGATTTATCCATCTTCTCATTCTGCTTCAACATTGTTTTCACTCTTACAATCTTTTTCATTGTTTTTAAATCTTGTTCCAACCTCTGCTTCAGGGCTTCCAATACCTTGTATTGAAAGTTTCCACCCGCTTTTCCAGTTTCCTTAATGTTTGGTACTCTGGTGTCTGATTCTTTACTGAATCTCCAGGTACAATTTTAAACTGTCCATTGTCACACTCTGGTATCACTATACATTTTGGTACTCTGTATTCTCTAATAGCAATTTTAACTTGTTGTTGTTTTCTTATGACACAGCTCCTCTTGTTATCCTTTCCACAGGGTAATCACTGTATTCTCTTCTTTCAAGATCTTGGCATTCAACTTGGGTTCCTTGATTCATGCCATTGCTACTACTTGTAGTACATTCTGTACTCTTAAAAGTTTGTCCCCATATTTATCAGTCCAGGTACAATCCGTCCACTATGAATATCAAACTAACACAATCCACAAGGCTACAATCCTGTGAACTATCAACGCCACTACCACTGGGAGGGATCTTGGGAGCTATCGATATCAATACGGAGTACAGACACTAGCAGTCAATTGTTTAATGTCTAAAACAGGACACAATCTACACAGCTATAATCCCATGAACTATCAAAGCCACTACACTGGGCGCAATCTTGTTTGCTAAGTCATCAGGACAATAGTGATTTATTTATTAATGTCTCAAACAGGACACAATCCACACAGCTGCAATCTCGTGAACTATCAACGCCAGTACAACTGGGCGCAATCTTGTTTGCTATGTCAACTGGACAATAGTGATTTTTTGATAAATGTCTCAAACAGGACACAATTGTAAAAACCCTAAATCATGTATCTTGCATATTAATCTATGTTCGTTAATCCATGAACAGACCTATCTGTCAGTTTGATTTTTATCGGTTTCACTAAACCAAAAATATATTTAGTTGGATATGAACACTGTTTATATACATAAGTAAACAATCTTGGTAGAGAGTATAGGGTTTCATAGATTTGTGTGTGGATTGATACACACATAAAGAAATGTTGGAGCAAGGCATTTATTACAAAAAAGGTGGCTGCTGTGAGACATATCAACCCTAATTTAAATGCCACAAACTCCAAGGAAGAAAAGTATAGTGAAAACCTGGTTTAACAGGGTAATAAGAGAAACCCTAGAAAGAGATACTGTGTCAGAAGAAACAGTAACAGTGCATCAACGAGTTAAGTCTGCAGACAGTGAAAGTGAAACAGTGGACAGTTTTGGATTATACCCTACTTTACCTAGTGAAGAATCGGATACAGAATCAGATATTGAGGAAACCGGAACAACAAGTGGAAGCCCTCCCCCTTCACAGTTTGAAATCGTAATGCAAAAGATGGATCAAATGGAGCTGCAAATCCAGGCTAGGGATGATAAAACAGACCAATTACGGAAAGAGTTACAAATAGTGAAAACAAAAACGAAAATCAGTCATGTGCATAGAGGAGGAGGAGCACATGGAGATGGATTATAAACCCAAGGACGAGATAAATACAGCTGAGACAAGAGATGAGGAGCCCAACGGATTAGTAGGAATACAGAACGAAAAGATGACAGATCAATCTGTTAGCAAGGGCGTATACAGGTGGACAAGGGGGCAGTGCCCCCCCTAGACCTGTAAATGTGGAGCGTAGCCCCTCTAGAACTCAGAGCTTTCACACTTTTCAAATCTTAAACTCAAGAGTGAAGAAAATAAAAAAATGGTTTGCTATTCATTCAGTGCACTAAGAAGATTGTATAAGTGGACCAGAACCACCATGACAGAAGTCCGAATGAAAAATCTATTTAGAATGCCCATTCATCCTAATCGAATGAGCGCTATCAGGAATAGCAAAGTAAAATAATTATTTTTAAATGCCATGCAACGAAAGTTTGAGTTTGCTTTTGTTTTTTAATTTGGATTTAATTTACTTTATTCATTGCACCGCCTTTATGTAATCTTTCTTTTTATTACAAACTAGCTAAAGTGACAGGCGTTGCCCGTGGAATTTAAAAAATCGAATTAAAACAAAAAACTTAGGGATAACATAAGCTAAATAAATAAGATTTTTGTTTTAATTCGATTTTTTAAATTCCAAGGATATCCATGAGTTTCCTCACTAAAATTCAGCCCAATTGATTCAGCCATAGTAAACACATAAATGAATGAGGAGCTTTATTATATAAATTACAATTGTACTCCAACTTTTTTTGTTCAAAACAAAAACTTTTACAAGTCATAATTATTTTCTGGACCTTTGTCCTTTTTTTCATCTCATAGAATTCAAGTTCAAGTTGAGTTTTTCAGTTTCAAAAATGTCTTTTACTATCTCTAGTTTAAATAAACTAATTATTACTAACATACCAATATAATAAAATGTCGATTTTTTAGAAACAATGCTTTTTTTCTCGGAGTTTTGTTTGAAGGAAAGATAAAGTATATGTACATGCAAGGTAATTGGACTGTATGTCAAGTTCCTCCTACTCTGTTTAGCTATAGAATACTCCACCCTGATTGTAATGAATATAGTAACAACCCTAAATCATGTATCTTTTATATAAATCTATGTTTGTTATTCCATGAACAGACCTAATGGTCAGTTTGATTTTTACCTGTATCATTAAACCCAAAATATATTTAGTTGAATATGAACTGTGTTTATTTACGAACATAAGTAAACGATCTCGGTAGATAGTATAGAGTTTGATACGAGTTGTGTGTGGATTTATACACACTTAATGAAATATTTAAGTTAGGCATTTATTACAGGTATATTGTAAAATGAGAGGTAAAGAGTTATATTAGAGGTGTTATTTGGGGAGTTTTATGTGTTTCTAGATTAAGGGTAAGAGAGATGAGAGAGTTCTTTAGAGGAGACTTGATAAGGTTTTGTTGATGGAGGGATGGTTCGGATAGAAAGTTATTGAGAATGTGAGAAAATTTAATAAAAAGTTTCTGAACTGTGGACTCAGAACAATTCAAGGTAAAATAAGATAAAAAATAAATAAAAGTAAGAAAGTATTATTACTTCTAATAGAAGGGTAAGAAAGTATAATTACTTCTAATAGAAGGCTAAGCAAGTATAATTACTCTAAATGGAAGGGTAAAAAATCATAATTACTCTAAATGGAAGGGTAAGAAAGCATAATTACTCTAAATGGAAGGGTAAGAAAGCATAATTACTTTAAATTAAAGGGTAAGAAAGCATAATTACTTAAAATGGAAGAGTAAGAAAGCATTATTACTTGTAATGGAAGGGTAAGAAAGCATTATTACTTGTAATGGAAGGGTAAGAAGCCCTGATGGAATGTCTCTCATCTGTTGACCCTCTTCTCCATTTAAATATTCCACTAACCATCCATCCCATCGTTCAACAACCTTTCTCAGCTTTGTACAAACCTAAAAACAGAAACAATCCTTTATTTTCTCTGTTTATGCTCAAGGAAATGATTGATTGATTGATTTGTACCTGTTCTTCATTACTTTGCTTGAGAACAATATTGTTCCACCAATCTTTGCTTGGAGTTCCTCGGTAGGTCTTCAGCAGTTCTTCAGATACTGGTAGAACAATACTGTACACCAGTACATAACATATATATAGGTCGTACAATACTGTACGCTAGAACATAAATATATACATATGTATTACAATATTGTACACCAACACATTAATTAATATAAAAGTAGTGCAATGCTGTACACCAGTACATACATATATGTATAGGAAGTATAACAACACTGTACAGTATACACTGCAGTACAAAAATTAGTATAAAAGTAGTACAAAACTGATCCCCAGTACATATTTTTTGTAGGTGTACAATACAAAGTACATAATTCACCAGTACATAAATATTATAGGTATTACAATACTGTACACTGCAAAACATAAATTAGTATAAAGGTAGTACAAAACTTTACACCAGTATATAAATATATATATATAAAGGTAGTACAAAAACGTNTTTTTGATAAGAGCCACCCAGTCACCTTCTGTCCCCATCAATTCAACCAATTCAACCTAAAACATCATTTTCATAATTTTAAGATATTTATTATGTACATATTGTATGTACAATGTACATTCATTAAATTGTTAATCTTTAAATTTTGTTATTACAAACTATTAAAAGTTTTGGTAGAAAGACGCACGAATGAAATGATTCCTAAAACTATGGCAACAGTGAAATTGCAAAATTGTAATCATAAAAGTTTAAAGTTTTATTCTTTTCTACAACATCACTTTAAAGAAAGATTTCCAATGCAAATGTCTTTTATTTATTTAAATCTGGGCAATTCAAGATGTGCACACTCTAAAAAAAACGAGCAGTATTTTGCCAACTACCCTTTTTAAACTTAATCAAGAAACAGACGCCTAAAATTTTTAAAATGATTATTTCTAGGCCTAGAAAAAAAGGAGTAGTTCGAGTTGTGAGATAAAATGCAAAGGCCAAGGTGGTGCGACACTTCAAACTTGAGGCTGTATAGAAATTTGATGACTCCGGGTTGTGTATCAGTATATCTCAGTGGGCAAAACCAGAAGTATTCAACATTTGAATTATCAAAGGCTGCCCCCACGCAAAGATTAAAAAAACCTATGTATCAATTTTCAATTTTCTAATTTCTATTTTGTTAATATTTGTCATTCAATTTTAATTTTTGTAACTAAAAGTAACCAATGCAGGATAGAATAATCAAAATTTGTTTGTATGTAAACTTTTGAATAAATCTTCTGTTGTTTGATTCTGTGCTAAAACTATCAATTTTGGTCAATTTACTTAAAAATATCATGTTTTGCGCAAAATTTCCGGTTTTGAGCAATTTACGGAAAAAAAAGTTAAGCAAAAACGCTCAAAACTTATTGCGTTTCATGCGGAAATGATGCGCAAACAAATATTTTGCGCAAATCTATAGCAAAAATATGGTCATTTCGTGACAACCCTAATTCTGCGCAATTCCAAATCCGATTTTGCCCAATTCCACACAATTCCAAGCAATCCCGCTCAATTTCGCGCAACAATGCCGATTGAAAACCCTACTTAAAAGTCTACAAATTTCTAGATTATGAATATGAATATTAAAGGATTGATCTCAACTTGAAACATTAATTTCATATCTTCATTCCGCATGATCGAGTACACAGGATGTCCCACATCATATTGGATCGAGTACAGGATATCCCACATCATATTGGATCGAGTACAGGATATCCCACATCATATTGGATCGACACTCGGTCTAAATTATTATTTTCGGTACTAATCAGAAAATTTAAGAAAAATTATTCATTTTGAAAAATTGTACAGTGAAAACCAGAAAACTCTGAAATAGGAAGAAGAGTGAAGACGTCTTTTAGCAATATTCAAGTGTACTTGATGGTCTTACAAAGCAACTAGTTTTTCTTGGCACTTGTTAAATCACTAACTAAGTGAAATGGGTCCAGTTACAATTCACAATTACTGTGTCCCATGCTTATTGGACTTTTTAAAGTCATAACTTGAGTCTAAAAGTCGTCTTTGTATTTTAGAGTTTTCTGGTTATTACTGTATAAGGCCAATATAAAAACTTGTTTGCAGAAAATACCCTTTTTTTAGTATTATGTGCGTATTTTGGGTGTTAAAATGTTGAAGACAATCCAATATGATATGGGACACTCTGTATTTAGTATTATTATGGATTTTCCGTTTTGATAATAGGTCAGGATAACCCTGGGATATTCAAGAAGAATTAAACTAATCCACAAGATGGAGCTCAATCTTGATTCTAATATTTATAACACAAAAGTTCAGACTACTGAAACTGAGCCTGCAATTCAAAATATTACGGATAATAAGATTTGATTGGGCCTAACTCCTTTTGTTAAGTCTACAGGGTTGGCAACTGTCAATCAGGCGAATAGTGGAGGTTTAGCCTAGGGGGGCGCCGAAATTTATTTTTGTGCACCCCCCTAAAAAATCGGTATTAAGAAGAAATAAAGTTTAAAATCTATATTAATCTAATGACTATTAGTCATCTGACCATGATTATAGTCTTAGCTTTAAATCGCGGGTCAGAGTTTTAACTGTCCATCGACAAAACTCACTGAGTTTCTACCCGACGACATTCTTAATTTTTTTAATCTTACCTCTGGAATTCCACAAGCAATATACGTATCGAAGTTAAAATATTTTTGGACGGATGAGAGAAGGATGAGCTGACTAACTAATTTATCTGTGTCAGTTGTTGTGCTGAAGTTCGCTTGAAACACCTAGAACAAAACAAGGGGTATATATTTTAACAATAAAAAATCTATTTACTGATACTTTAAAATCTTCATCAAAAGAATATGAAAAGTTTTCATACATATTTGTCATACATACGAAGTGTCCCATGAAAAATGACAGTAGTAAAACAACTTGAAGGTTGCAGTCTTTTATCATGAAAATAGTTTGCGGCATTGTAAATCAAATTTAGAAGTATAATATTTGGGTAATTATCAAAAATAACCTTAGTCTTAAAATTTCCAAAATGTGGTCAACTTTTTTCTGCTTCAATATTACCAGAGATATTAAGAATTTCATTCAGATTTCACCAGTTTTGGTTTTGTTTAATTAATTGAAATTTGAATTAAATTCTTTTACAGTAAAACCCTAAATATTAAATACATCGAAAGAATTTATGAAATGTCGTCTTTACAATTTTTCAATGGTTTTATACTATTTTACGTAAATCTCAGTATTTGTAAAAATAAATAAATATTGCCATGAATATGCAGGAACAATATTAAAGAGCTCCATATAATCATTTCATTAAAAAACTATATATCTGCAGTATTCCATTATCAGAAAGTGAAGAATACGACATTTGATAAATATTTAGGGTTTAACTGTACAATATCTCCAATAATATTGATAGCACAAACAAGGCAGACAACATTTTGGAAATGCCAGGACTAAACATAAATTTCACCAGAAAGAGATAATTCATTTTGCTGAGGAACGCTGTTGTAAACAAACCAAAAAAGGGGTTAGTACATTATACAGCTGCAATAATATTAAAATTCAACCCTATTCTATTGGGCATGTGTAGGGCTCAGCACGTTTTACAAAAACGACTAATTCGTTTCGTTAACGATTTAAAAATTAACGGTTTTTGCCATTCCGTTAATTTTGAAAAACCTCTGTTTAATATAGTTTACCGTAGCATAATCTAGTGTGACAAGCTGGAGTTTAATATAGTTTACCGTAGCATATTCTAGTGTGACAAGCTGGAGTTTAATATAGTTTACCGTAGCATATTCTAGTGTGACAAGCTGGAGTTTAATATAGTTTACCGTAGCATATTTTAGAGTGACAACCTGGAGTTTAATATAGTTTACCGTAGCATATTCTAGCAGGAAAAGCTGGAGTTTAATATAGTTTACCGTAGCATATTCTAGAGAGACAAGCTGGAGTTTAATATAGTTTACCGTAGCATATTCTAGCAGGACAAGCTGGGGTTTAATATAGTTTACCGCAGCATAATCTAGCAGGACAACCTGGAGTTTAATATAGTTTACCGTAGCATATTCTAGCAGGACAACCTGGAGTTTAATATAGTTTACCGTAGCATATTCTAGCGTTACAAGCTGGTCTGAAACCTGTTTTGTAAGCTCAGCAAACATTTCCTCGAATCCGCGGTTAAACTGAACCTGAATTTGAGATAGAATAAAGTTCTGACATTTTTTTTTGGATAATTTTTTGGAAAATTTCAACCCCACCCCTTACCACCACCGGGGGCCTCTTGCACTCTTGCGAGTTACCATTCTGTGATATCTTTCCAATATAAGTAAAAATTGTATGTCCTGCAGTTGGCAAGAAAACAAAAATTAAATCAATTTTAGAAACTTTCTCTGGAATTTTTGTAAAATTCTAATTATTCCAAAACTTTTCTTGAATTTTATTGGAAACTATTTTCAATTCCATCCCAAACAACGGGAGAGCCAGAGAAAATCCAACAGAAAATCTATCTTTTTAGACATTTAAGAGACTGAGATTTGAATTTTTACCACTAGGAATGGGCACATTTTTACCACTAGGGATGGGCACATTTTTACCACTAGGGATGGGCACATTTTTACCACTAGGGATGGGCACATTTTTACCACTAGGGATGGGCACATTTTTACCACTAGGGATGGGCACATTTTTACCACTAGGGATGGGCACATTTTTACCACTAGGGATGGGCACATTTTTACCACTAGGGATGGGCACATTTTTACCACTAGGGATGGGCACATTTTTACCACTAGGGATGGGCACATTTTTACCACTAGGGATGGGCACATTTTTACCACTAGGGATGGACACATTTTTTGCTTGGTTCATTTATGATTTTTAGTAAATAGAAGAACTTTCTTAAATTTCCAGAACTTTGCCGAGCATTGGCTGAATACAAATATTTTAAGTTCAAAGTCTCAATACAAACTAGATAAAAAAACAGACTACACATAAGCTCATCTTCCGGGCTTGGCTAAGCACACGTCTATAGCTGTACCGACCCGACATGCTACATAGCCATGAAATTGCCATAAAATAACCATTCAGGGGTTATGTTTTGTAATTTTTAAAGAAATACTCTAACTTTAAAAATGAAACAACAATTCACGAATTTATTCTCCTTTTGAAGGTTTTGTATTTCGTATCCAAAGAATCCTAAAATATTCTTGAATACAGACGTCTATTTATTGGTCGTGTACTCCAGCTGTACACAGCAGAACCTGCTGTGGAAAATATCCCATATTCTAGCCTCTAATAGATCTCTATACTTTCTTTTCTCTGGTTTAAACTGATTATAATAATTGCTTGATCCTGGGTTTCACGGCCCAAAAGTTTGACCTCTGTTTACTGTAGAATAACTTAAATAAACCTCACCGTCAAGTTCTTCTTTGATCGGCCTCGTCCAAACAGATAATTCTCAACTTCAGGCTTTAATGCATTGTTATCAACTACCTGGAAGTATAAAAGTGTTTAATCCTTGAAAAACTGGGATGGAGTGCTATAAACCCTAGGGCACCCCCCTCCCATTTGAAAGTCCTAACAAGGCACACAGCATGCATGTTTTTATTCTAATATTTAATTATGCTAAACTTTGGAACTTAAAGAGCTTATAAAAGGTTAAAAAAGTAAGATTTTATGCGTTTAAAAGTGTTTACTTCTGACGGTTCCAATTTGTTTTTCAATAGAAATGTGCAAGTAACTATTGTAGAAAACCCACAAATAAAAAAAAACAGTTTTTAAAATTACAAACTATCTAACTCATACTTGATTTTATTTTTTAAAATAATATTTAGCTTACAACTTGTTTTCGAATATTCCTGGAAAATATTAAAATGTCGTCTTCATTACCAAAAATCCTCGAAACAGGAATAAATGTTTTTACTCAGATCATAACAATTAAAACATATTATGAAAAATCAACTATATACAAATGTGGCAAAAGATAATCAATGACTATAGGTTGTAATATCTAAATGATTTATTTGAAATTAAATTGATTTTTTACGATCTAAATCGTATGTTGCATCTTTCTTAATTTTTATGGACACTACGTTCTTCGGTGTTAGTCGTTTTTAACAATTTTCTCCTTATAGACGCAACAGATAGAAGTAAGATTAGTAGCGATTAAAAGCGCTTTTTTATCGCATTAAGCCTATACCCCCTTTCATTTTTTGCGAACACTCCCTTTAAATGTGGTTCCTGTTTAACTTAGATATCCAGGCAGCTATAAAAGTTTCAAGACTGTGTCGTCTTTGAAGTGTTGCGTTGGCCTTATTAACTTATTAACTTATAATAAGTTAATAAGTTAACTTATTAACTTATTTGTGTAGCCTACAAGACATGTACATTGTAGAACAATAAAGCACTTGTTTTTAGCTTCAGTTTTTAAGAAGTAATTGAGCTTAAAAACTTTGGATCCCTGTGTGTCATCTGCATGAATGTAAATTTCATATTTCAACCTGAGCTATTCGTCGAATGACCGGCAAAAACCAATCGTCAGGCGTTGTTCGTAAAACCCAATGATTCTTGTAAGCCTAGAGTAAAACAAATTAAATTATCAACTAGATATCTTATATCAAAACAAATAATGCAATGTAATAAAGAAATCTAACTTTTTAAAAAATTGTAAATCACTGACTCTACAAAAAAGAGTTTTATAAAAACTAATGATCATCATAAGGAGCAAATAGTAAAAATAAACAAAAAAGAAACTGATTACTTGCCTCAAACTCTAATTTTCTAAACTTTTGATATTTCAATTTTAAGAATATTTTATTTAGCTGTAGATTTTTGAAAGAATTAAAGTTTGAGGCAAGTAATCCTGGTTAGATTAAACACGTTTTTATGATTGGATTCAATGGAAAAAAAACGACAATTTTAAATCAACACCAAAGAAATGGTGGCATACTAAATACTATATTTCGAGGTTAATAATATATATATATAAATATATATAACTTTAAATAAGTTTGGAACATGTTCTATTGTGTTTCATGTTTCAATTCATCAGCATCTACCTGAAGAACAGCTGCGAATAGCCCTGTATCAGCACCATCCTCTGTCATTAAACATAAAAAATTATTACGATTTTTTTGACGTCACGAATAAAAATTTTCTTTTCTTTTTCAAAATTTGATGGATGATGCACGAACAAGAAGAAGAAAATGGAGATTTAGAAAAAATAGAAATGTCAAAATACTTGCATCATCAAATTTATAGAATTTTGTTAAAATTTATATTTTAAAAAATAAATATGTTATTACGATCTTTTTTTAATCTACGTTTACAATTGTTAATAAAGAGTAATTAGATTTGAAGATTTTCAAAAATTTCATAATGTTGAGATTTTTTAATGCTAAATTTGTCTATTTCGACCGACCATAAACCTTTCCCACACGGTGCCTTGTGAAGTTGTGAGGCGCAATTGGTTCAGAAAATTATCAATTGAGTAAGGTTTAATATTTTAAGATTTTCAAAAGTGTGATAAATAAAGACAAATTTAAATAATTTAAGGTTTCCGTGCGCGGACAAGAACTTGTAAAACTCCCAACATCAATCTTTAGAAGAAATGATAAAACTTTCTGGTAAAATGTTCAAATCTTTTCAACTCGACATTCTTGGATATTTATCGGAACAGTCTTATATCGAACTGAATTTGGTTTAAATATAAAACTTTTAACAAAGATATTAAGTTTTTTTAATCCCTATATCTTTGCAACCCATGATGTCGTAGACCTTGAATATTTCGAACTATGATAACAAAATAAAAGTTTTAAATATCAAAGGTTTTCACCATCAGATTATAATGATATAGGGATTAGAAAATTGAAGCTGCGACAAAGACTCAATTATTTAGGAAACTTTTAGATTATTTGGAGAGATTTTCCGAGTACAATTTGTTCTACTCAAATCCCTGTTAATTCGTGAACACAAAAACATTATTTTTTGTAAATTGTCTTTATCAGGAAAAAATCACTCTACAAATGGAAAACTTGGTGTCTCTTTAGTCCTTAAAAAATGGTAGCATTATTTTTTTCAGTTATTACAACTTTAAGCTTTGGGATATCTAAAATGTGGTCTGTGATTTTTAAAATTGATATTTTTATAAATGAATGTTAATTTTTCTTTATGTTAAATATGGGTTAAATAGATCGTCTTATATATCGAATATCTCCGAAATTTCAAAGATACAAAAGTCAGACCTCATTTTGGAAAACTCATAAAGCGCAGAACCTTGATTGTATGTATCAACATACACTCTTTGACATTCATTAACAATTTAACATTAAAAACGAATTGATGGGGAGGGACATTCTTTATTTACAGTAAAATTTTAAATACTAGTTAACAAATTTAAATATAAATACGATTTAGTATCTTAAGTTATAACTAAATTTTGAAAAAATTTCTTTTTGTAAATATCAGGGTTAAATTATACTTTAAAAAATGATAAATTTTAGAATTTTTTAATTTCCTGGAACGTAGATTTCTTTCTCATGCCCTCCTTTAGCAATAAAAAGACTGTCATCAGAATAACTTCCAGAGAAATTCTTAAATCTGAAAAAATATTGTTCAATTTCAAAGCTTATTTGAAAACCAGCCAGGAGAAGGAGAATTTCAATTGACATTACTGTTACGACTTTGTGACCTCGTTGCAATGAGAGAAGTTATAATAAAAAATGTTTTTAATCTGACGTGCATTTTACTTTAGTTTTACGTGACTAACTGGAGGGCCTTGTGTGCTTCAATATGCTTAGAATACTCTCTCTAAAGTGACTGAATTGGATTTTTAAAAACAAAAACAGAAAAGAAAATCGTCAAGATTAATTTCTTCTATTATATATATCACTATAATGCTTAGGTGCCCAGAGTTGCCCTCTTCTTGATTTTTTGTCCGAATCGTGAACTAGTGAACTAGTCCTTTATAAATAAATTTTATTTTTATTAACCTGTTTCTATCAAACTTTTGTTTGAGCCTAACAGCCTTCCACCTTTGTTTTGCAATAACTTCGGTGGCCAAAACTTTCTCTAATCTAAAAAGTTTCATTTAAATTTTTTTTTTTAATTGTATTTGATTTTACCTGTCAAAAATGTAACATTCTTCTCCTTCTTCAGCTTCCATCTAAAAATATTTTTTAAATTTTTTATTCGATTATAAAATTAAAAAACTAAATTTCAATAATAAATAATTTTCTCTAAAAGTATTTTTGGATTTTATTGTTCCCTTTAATGTCCGTCGTTACCTGCATTGTTTTGATCGTATTCCCATTATCTAGGGTCCAAAGGATAACCTCGCTAAGATTATACGGTATCTTGTCAGGATTTATAATTATTCTAAACATATTATTAGAATATCAAATGTTTGAAAAGGTTAAGTAACAAAGAATTTATCTGTATCTGTATCTGTATCTGTATCTGTATCTGTATCTGTATCTGTATCTGTATCTGTATCTGTATCTGTATCTGTATCTGTATCTGTATCTGTATCTNGAGAAGCTTTTTTAATTGACAGTTTCTCTTTTTTCCATGTTTTTCCCGTCGTGTTGTATTTACAATATCTGTATCTGGATCTGTATCTGTATCTGTATCTGGATCTGGATCTGTACCTTTTCCCCTGAATTTCGCAAACTTTTCTAAACTCTGTTATATTGAAGGAATCTTGTGTATCCAATTCAATGCACTCTGAGACCCTGAAATATATAAAACAATAAACAATATGTTTAAATTCAATATATCTTATCTATAAATATATCTGTAGCATTTAAACATTTTATACAGCCGTCGTCGTATATATCAACACAATAAAGACAACTTTCTATCTTTCAAACAGCTTGGCTAAGCTTTAATTGATAAACAGTACGATGTTAATAATGATAACTGTAAAATGTACTGTCAGTCTCAAGTCAAAACACGTTTTTACGTGTTTGGGAAAACAGAATTTTCTACTAAAATCCAAACATAGCTGCCGGCAAAAAAGGTTAAGGCGGGCTCATTTTCAAATTAAATTGGAATATCTTGATTAAATACCCCCTCCCCCCCATCCTTGAGATTGCGTACATTTTCTTGGTAATTTATTTGCGAAGTAATTCTTATCACGCGTAATTCCGTTTAATTCAGTGTAATGCGTAATTTTAGAAGGGTGTTTTGACAGAAGGGAGGGGGAGGGGAGGGGTACCATAGGGTTAATTGGAGAAATGGAGAGGAGGAAGGGGGGGGATTCTTGACAGCTATAGCTTAAAAGTTAGTCAAATTCAACTCGTTGAATGCTTCGGAGGTTTATCAGAACAAAATCAAGACAATTAGGTAAAATATTAACTACACTTTTAAAGAAATATTCGCCGAAAAAATTGTTTGGAATTTTTTTTATTATAATGTCTGCGATACAACTGTTATCGGGATGTTATCGTTTTCATTTCTTTGAAAAACGATCTTTTTGTTATGAAAGCGACGACAAAAAAATCAAAAACGAAACGAGCGTTTTTAAAAACGTTAGTTTTTTTAAAAAACAGGTTTTTAAAACGAACGTTTTTTTAAACGATTGTTTTTTTAAACGATTGTTTTTAAAAAGTTAGTCGTTTCGTTAACGACGACCCTTTGGTAACTATCGTTAACGACGACCATTCGTTAACGATCGTTAACATATATCAATGACAATTTTTATAATGATCGTTTTTCAAATAATCATATAAAAAACGTTCGCTTATCGTTTTTATAAAAACGATCGTTTTCAAAAACGATCGTTATTCGTTTTCTAAAAATTCAATACTATTGGGTCGTTTTCAAAAACTATCGTTCTTTTCCAAAAACAAAACGATCGAAAACCGAAACAAAAAACGATTAACAACCCTAGATTCAAGTGATTTTGTGTGGATTTTGATAAATCTTAATCTGATAATTTTTTCTTCTAATTCTTTTAATTAATTTGGTTAATGCACTAATGGTTTATATTTTCACAATTAACATTAACTTTTGTTTAAAGATGATTTGTATTCATTTTAAATTACTAGGAAGTATGGCTTGGAGATCACATGGCGTGGACAACAACGATCTCGTAAATAACCTCTATAAAAACAATATCATCAAGTCCAAGCACGTAATGGACGTTATGAAACGAGTTGACCGTGGTAGCTATTGTCCCAACAACCCCTATATGGATGCACCTCAAGGTATTGGGTTCGGACAGACCATAAGTGCCCCGCACATGCACGCACATTGTTTAGAACTGCTGAAGGACCACCTTAAACCTGGAACGCGCGCACTTGATATAGGATCTGGAAGCGGTATATTGACCGCCTGTATGGCCTTGATGGTCGGATCTAGTGGCAAGGTGGTCGGAATCGACCACTACGACGGATTAGTTAAGATGTCGATTGAGAACATAATCCAGGATGGAAAAGGTTCTTTAATCGACTCCGGGACTATAATTCTACTTGCTGGAGATGGTCGGAAAGGATACCCAGAGGAAGGCCCGTATAACGCCATACATGTTGGAGCAGCAGCGCCACGCCTGCCAGAGGATCTAGTTAACCAGCTGGCTCCAGGAGGTCGAATGATTATTCCTGAAGGTCCTGAGGGAGGATCCCAATCCCTAAATCAGATTGATAAAAGCCTGGATGGGGAAGTTACCCGGACAATGCTGATGGGGGTCAACTATGTTCCTCTGGATGATCTGAGACAGCGCGGAAGGTTTGCAGAATTTTAGAAATCATCTTTTAAACATAAAATGATTCTCTGCTATTTTACGTTTTTGTCATCATCATAATCCCTACAAAGAGTTTAACCATTTTTTATTTACTGTTTTGTTCTATGTTTATAGATAATGAAAGTTTTTTTTGTGTAATAAATATCAATAATTGAAAATAAACAAAAAAAAATTTAATGCTAGACCAACCAATGTTACTACAGGGTGGGTTCAAATAAACATAAGCATAAAGGGACGACTTCTAAATCGTCTTCAACCTACGCTGAATTCCTGATGTGAATAAGATAATGATAACAATACAAATGTTATGGTGTCCTCATAATCGGTTCTTATGTATATCTTCAAAATTTCATTTCATTTTATAATATATCATTAAAACGTTTAATTTTCCCGTCGTGTTGTATTTACAATATAGGTACTGTATACCACATTATGGAAATCTTAAAAGTCGCAAATAATTTTTATAAGGACTGTACAGTGTACAGTGTACACGTAATTTAAATTAACTCCATTTAAAAAGAATGGTATGTCCGACTCACAACGGTACCCTTTACATTTTTTATAAACAAGAATGGACGAATTTTTCATTTTATTTCTTTTAAAAAAGTTTTCTTTTGTAGAAACAAGCCAGAAATACATTTCTACGTTAAACGTCGAAAGAGTATATTTAAATAAAAGATTGAAATTACGACAGCACACGGGCAGCCGTAGTACATTTGAATTTCTGAGCCGGGTCAACCTTTCCGGTCCCAGTTTGTACTGTATCGCCTTGACATTGGGTAAATAAAGCAGAAACTCAATAAGGCTAGTCGGTGCAACAAGGTTGACGTGGTCAGACTTTAGGTTGAATTTACTTTTACTGAAGGGTCAGGGGTGTGTGGACAGTGGACAGTCCATATAATAAGAAAAATCCAAGTAAAAGCTACAAGTTATAAAATTAATGAGGGGTGTGAAGCGCCCTGGCTGTTAATGATGAATTTAATCAATTACACTTTTCATAATGCATGAGTTTTGCAAACCCTAATCGGCACCTGCAGATGTATAAACTGCCTCAAAATAAAATTGAGAAATAGTTTTTTTTCTAAAAATTAATCTTGGCAGTTTTAAGATTGTATGTTGTAAACATTTTTGATAGAAGATATATATTGTTATACACATTGTATATTCGTTTTTAGTTTCATGAATGCATGCATTAGATACCACAGATGTTATATAGTGTATGTAGGAAAATTATTAATATATTCATCAAAGCTATACACGAGTCACACTCAACTAGACATGTAGGTGAACTTTAAGCGATATTACTTGTAAGAGTTTGTGACCTCGTAGCTAATTAGTTTTGATTTTACGCACAAATATGAGATTATTTTATATTATGTAAATAACATTTTCTTTCTTCTTTTTAACATCTCTTTGTATATTTTAATGAAAGGGAGTTATGATTGAAAACTACAAAACATTTCAATCCTAGTCCTACGTGTAATTAACTTTAGTTTGATATCGAGATGAAGCAGTTTTTAGAATTTTGAGGGAAAATTGGAAAACTTATATTTGATCAACCTAGAGTTAGACTGCAGAGAAACAAACTTTTCTAAAAGGGAATGTTCGCGAAGAATGAGAAGAACCACCATGTATATTGACCGAAACTTATTTTATTGCTAACTGTACAACTCATGTCCATTTGAATTTGAGCTGAACCGACCTTTACGGTCCCGTCCAGTACACCAACTACACTGGCAGACATACAGCAGGGGCCAATACAGTTGGCCTAGCTCTGTAGGCAGGGCTAGCTGGTGCAACAATTGGTTGACACAGTCTGACTTTAAGCTGCATCTGGTTAATTTTACAATCTGTAGAGCGGCAAATTTGCGTGACTGATGTTTCTAGCTAAAAAAAACGAGAATTTTGATGCACTCACTAGTATTTCCTTAGAATGGGCTAGTTCATGTGTATACCGTCCCGTTTTGCCTGGTATAATCTGTATGTGTACTGTACAGCTCACTCTAGCTGGTTAGATTTTTCCCTGGATCTTGAAATGAGCCAGACCTACAGGACCTACAGGACCTACAGTACCTACAGGACCTACAGGACCTACAGTACCTACAAGACCTACAAGACCTACAGGACCTTCAAGACCTACAGGACCTACAGGACCTACAGGACCTACAGGACCTACAGGACCTACAGGACCTACAGCTACAGGACCTACAGGACCTACAGGACCTACAGTGACTAAATCGTTAGAATTCTCATTCTTTTGTATTCTTGAGAAATCTGGTTCCCAATTAACTCTTAACTTTACAACTTTGATCTAATTAAACACCTTGCATTCACACTTTTTTTAAAATTTAGAATTTGTCTTAAAATACACTCTAAACTAAGTTAGAAGGTTAGGTCAAGTAGTCCTATGATAGGACGGGTACTGTAAAAAGTCTGGCCACGCAATTAAAGCTGAAATTGAGTCAGCATACTGTGGTAGGCGATTATTTCAATATAAGGAAGACGATTTTTTAAAGTTTTAATTGTTAACAATCTTTTGTCAAATTACAAGTTTACAAGCAATTAAAGAGAAGCTTTTTTAATTGACAGTTTCTCTTTTTTCCATGTTTTTGTGTATACACTATTCATTCTGTGTAAAAGCTAGATAAAAATCAAGATAAAAACGAAAGTCGTCTTCATTATATTGATATAAAGCCTACCACCGTAGGATAGGGTCGGGCAGGTACTCGCTGTGCGTCACTATGGCCGGTACAAAGAGTCGGTCTGTTTCGAATTCAAATTGACCCTATTAAGGAATTAACAACACAACAAAGCATGTAGAAATTGTACTAAACGAGATAATTAACTGGTTTATCATATCTTAATTGTTTTTCAAATTTAGAAAATTCCCTTCACAAAACTTGAAAAGGAATTGGGTCGTTGTCACAAACTCGGATTTTCTAATCTTTGCAACCCAATATTGTAGACCTTAGATACTTCAAGCTATACATACTGATAGATCAAATAATTTAAGGTTTATAAATCATCAGGTTGCAAAGATATAGTGATTATCAAATTAGACTTTGCGGTATTATACAAACTCAAATACTTATCGTTAATTTAAAATTCGGTGATGGTGATGGACCAAACCTTTGTAGAGTAAAAAAGTAGATGTTAGTTCCATATTTATTGAAAATATATTTCGGTCTGGGTTGACCCTGGTCAGTTCTTGAGATTGTTTCTGTCACAAAGGTTAAAATCATTGCGTCAAATGGTTTGAAAGTATGGAAAATGCAAAAAATTTGAAAACAAAGCACCTGAAGTATTCAGGAAAAAACATTAAAGTTTAGAGGTTTGAGTAAATAAAAAAGTACACTGTGAATCGACCCCATATATATATGTATACTAGACAGAAGTAGAAGTATTTGATATTACTGGTAGGACTTTGTGACCTCGTAGCTCATCTAGTTTTGAGTTTACGCACAAATAAAGCCAATCTATTCACTTACTTTTTATAAATTCAAAACCGTTGTGTTTTTATCAATAAGTCTTTAAAAAGGGGAGTTAAGATAAAAGACAGATTTCAATCTCGGCCAATTGTTAATTCTGAGACATGGGACAGCGTATACTTCTATTTCTACCAGAGGCTTTAATAAGTATTCAACTGCCTTCGGTTATTTTCAACAGATCAAACACATCAAAAGGATTTATTTCCATCATTAGGCCATCAATATGTACACTGTAATACTGTCCAGTTTTAGACACTTATAGTCTGAATATGTACTGTACAACTTGTCCTAGCTGCCTTAAAATCAGTCCGGTCCGTCCAATTAATCGGAGTTTACAGTAGAATACAACCATATAATATGAGTTTTATCGTGTCTGATACACAACGATACCCAGAATACGGAGCAAAAATGGGGCAATTGTCGTCGTTGAATTCAGACAAATGTCTTCTATTTTGTCCTGCACTGCTTAAATTCATAAAGTAACTTTATAAAAAAGTGCAATACAAAATATAATTCTAGATGATGCACGGTGGACTATGGTCAATTTGAATTCGAACCCTGCTCCGCCCCTCTCCTATGTCGGCGCGGTTTCAACTTTGATGACGCGGCCAGACTTCAGTACTCGACCCGGCCTATAAAAGGCATATTTTACCCACCCCACTAGCTGAGTTTATTGTGAATGTAAACAAAAAGAAACATATTATAACAATTAAACGTGTAAGTTTTGAATTTTTATTGTATGTGAAGAAGACTAGTATTGAATCCCCCTGTAAAGTATGTATATATTCAGATAATCCCTTCTAAATACAAGGATATAGTTTTATATAATATATTCTTTATATATTTGATATTATGATAACCTTGTTTCTGTTCTCCACTATCTATCTATCAGATATTTTACATGATTAAGTATAAATATATGTATAAATGTATATGTCCATAGACACAGTGTTTCGTCCTATTAGGACTCATCAGTATGGCTCTAATCAATGTATATGTGTAGGATGTATGTATGTATAAATGTATATATGTAGGATGTATGTATGTATAAATGTAAACATGTAGGATGCATGTATGTATAAATGTAAACATGTAGGATGCATGTATGTATAAATGTATATATGTAGGATGCATGTATGTATAAATGTATATATGTAGGATGCATGTATGTATAAATGTATATATGTAGGATGTATGTATGTATAAATGTATATATGTAGGATGTATGTATGTATAAATGTATATATGTAGGATGTATGTATGTATACATGTATATATGCAGAAAGTGTAACATTTATGACAGTGGTTTCTACTTTTCTCCTCAAATTAATGTGTTTTATGCAAATCAAATCAAAACAAAACTTTTCACGTCAAACTAAAGTAAATTGCACATTAAATTGAAATATGTTTACAATCATAACTGATCTTATTTTAGAGTTGTCTGTAAAAAAACCAGAGGAGCTACAATGCCACAAAGTCGTACCAGGAATCTAATTTAGTGAGTAACACCAAGTAACTCAAAAACAGAAATATATATTTACCAAAACTATTTAAAATTGTCGTTTAATAAAGGAGTTTCCTCAAGGGTAGGGCTGGGCCCCCCCTTAAAAAAGGAAATTTACAGGTCTAAAACAGAAACAAATGGTAAAAAAAAGAAATTTCAAAATTCCGTCCTAAAAATGGCCTATTTCTAGATTGTGAATACTATAATGTAGTATATCCGAATACTATTGATTTACCAGATAAATTGGCAGTGTACTACTCCAATGGATTATATTAGTCCACAATACAGTCAAAATATATAGAGAAACAAATATATACATATATGCAGTGAACACTCTACAACTTAAATACTTAAAAACTCAGATTTTCAGGCGGGAAATTGATCACTTGCCTCAATCTCAAATTTTTAAATTCCCTATAATTATATATCTTTGAAGCCTGACAGGGTTAGACAGCACTGCCATGTCAAGCCATAAAAGCTGCACTATACATAGGTCAATTTGCAAAGTTTGATAATTTCAAAGGACTACCCAATCTTGTTGCACTTTGGGATTAGACAATGTGAGTTTCAGTTCCACGAATTATGTCACGGTAAACTTAAGTAAATTGAGACTAAAATCTTATATGTTTTCTATAATGACTCCCAATACTTGAGAGAAAAAAATATACTTGTGCGTAAAATGAAAACTAGAGGACCTGTATGTCATAAAGTCGTGGAAATAATGTTTCTTGAATTTCTCCTTCTGTCTAGTTCAGCGTGCAGACGTTTAAGTAAGTGATCAAACTTTAGGTCCATTATTTTGTTTTTTTTGGCACACACATGATTTTAGAGAAATCTGACATTTTACCGCCAATACTCAATACAATATACATACAATGCTAATAAGCTTTGTGTTTCTTTTTCTACCAAATTTTTGCCCATTTATCACTAACCTTCTAGAAAATGTTGGCAGGGCTAATTCCTCTGGCCCTCCTTTTGAAGTTATCACAGCTAAAAAATCAAAAAATTTAAAATTTACAAATGGAATGTTTACGTTATTTTAAGTGACAAATTATGTTTCTAAATAATAACCTAAAACTGAGTGTCATAAAATAATATAGTTAATAGGCTTTAATCAAATCTTTAATTTTTCGTAAACTGTCCCTTACAATGATCAATATTTACCTTAACTTTTTTCTTTTCACTGCAAATCATACTTATTCGATACAAATGTTTATGGTTTAAAAAGGCAATAAAGTTTCCTTAGCGAAATTTATAGCCATTTTTTCCAAATAGAAACTTCAGTTTTGGAGTCTTGACAGAAACATCGGGTAGAAATAAAAATCTAAAATTACCTACAAAGACGACCAAAATTAAGACGATTGCTGCGGCACCTGCGCCCGCCAGAACTTTCTCATTCTCAACCCCCATACCCTGGAGTCATGGATATACTATCAAGGATGGAATGTTGACGCGACTGGGCGTCTGAAAAGTTTATTTGGAAAAGTTTAAAGCCACAACTTTGATGTAAAATCGCACAATGGGCTTAAAGAAAGAAAATTTTTACATTTAAATGATTACTTTTAATTTATAGCAATATTCCCTAGCCCATGGACCCACTGTGGAGATTTGTTATGCAGACAATAATATGTACAACATATATGATAACCCCAGAGTATCAATCTCGATTAATTGATATATAAGTGTGGGGTAGGGTGGCTAGTTTGTGACACCAGTTCTCATTAGATCACTGAAGTTAAGCACACTTGTCCTCAGCCAGTAACTGGATTGGTGTCCAGACTGGTGTTCACGGGTTCGATTCCCGTACTCCACACAAACCTGTGGTTTCAAAAACATCTGAAGCAGACATCTGGTTAAGCAGTTATGTGCACCTGACAGTTGTAGGAGGACAACATCAACATCTATCGCAGCGAAAGGGTGCGTGCTTTCTACTCAACAAGAAAGAAGCTCATAGTGGTTGATCCAAGTGAATGATGATGGATGAATTACAACCCCTGGTAGATCAATATAAAAACCCAGACAACACCAAATCTTCGGAATAGAAAAAAAATCCGAGATTTGATCGTAACAACCCGATCATGTCCTGGGGACAAAAAATCTCTTTTTAAAAGAAATATCTAGAAATATACAGTTGTCATTAGTAAATTCTGTTTGGGCTATACATGGGCTCGACATCCTGTGAAGTTTATCCATGCCTAAAGTGCAGTGGCACAACAGCACAACAGGATAGAAACACAACTCCCTCAAACTAGGAAAAAATAGTCATATTAAAGGGACTGTATGTGTAATTTCAAGTGACCTTCTATTTTTAAAGTAACATCGGACTCACATCGTTACCTAGGGTGAAAGATTAGTATAATCAAGGATAAATGACATATTATGAATTTTTACAAAAATTGGTTGTTGCAGTGCTTTGTATATCGTCAGGAATAAAAAATTTTTAAACTAGAAAATTTTCAACATTATTGATTAAAGTGTAAAGGATATCATTGTGAATCTTGCCCCTCTTTTTTAAGTAGAGAGTTGCACTTGAATTAACCGACAGTCGTCACTTAAGTTTAAGATAGAATACATCCATTTTAAAGCTGAAATTATGCAAACAGCAACAAAAAACAGAGGCTTTAGAAAAAATTCACTAATTTACTTTTGAGTTTAGTCATTGCCATGTATATAGAAAATGGGCTCTTTGTGTCCCCTTTCTTTCATCTTAATTGTTGCTCTTTAAGCTGCCATTTTCTTTGTAAATCGTAAAACATATAATTTCGCGGATTCTCCAGTATAAATTGGCGCTTTTTTAAAATAAAAAAAAACCCTTTTTTAAGGCATATTTTTTACCTACCTATGTTTCTGCTTAGATTGGGAATAATTTTGTCATTTTTAAATTCTCATAATTCTGGAAATAATTAGCTTTGCTTTATCATTTTGTTTCATATATAATTAAGGGAATAACATTATGGGGCCATTTTCCATAAAAATACTAAAATTAAACAAATCATAATAAAAACAATACCACAACAAATGTGGATACAGGCAGATTTACCGTTTTGACATTTGTTGGTCAAAGACAGACAAAGTAGGTACGTATAGTTTCGTATAGTTACGTATAGTTATGTATAGTTATGCATGTATAGTTAACTATAGCCACGTGTAGTTACTTATAGTTACGTATAGTTACGTATAGTTACGTATAGTTACACAAATTTGATCAAACCAAAACTTTTAAAAGGATTTTATAAATTGTGCATATTTTTTTTAGTTCACTAGTTAAACTTTTTGTTTAACAGCGTCATCTTTTATTATTGAATTTCTAAAACACAATCTTTCAAATATTGAATTTAAATTTCCCAGATATTGCTTCTTTATTTTAAATCAAATTTTGTCTTTTTATTAAATTCCAAAAACAGTTGAAAACTTGCAAATAATATTTTTGTTTTATTGATTTCAATAGACCTTCATGATTCCAAACTATGACTTCTCTTGAATCAAAAATTGAAAGTTTTAAATATTTAAAAATTTCTATCTTTTACAGAAAAATTGAATTCCCTGTGAATAGAATATTTTTATAATACAATGGGGGAAAATAATTTTATTAATATTTTTAATACAATTACTAATTCTGATAACAAAATTCTTTTTTGATTTGGCGGGCACCTCTCCTGCACCACGAGAATATGTCTTAATTGAAAAAAAAATTTTAAAATTTATTAAAAAATGTATCGTAGTTGTTTGTCAATAAACACATCCTAAACTGGACTGGACTGGACTTGAACCGGAACATTTAATTGAACCCAGTATTTCAAGATATTGAATAAACAGACAAACAAGGAAATATATAGATATCAATAGATCTGCATTAAAAAGAATAGAGCCCCCCTCCTCCCTCAAACCTCCATCTTTGCCTCGCCATGCCCTCAAACCCTCTCCTGTCGAAACAGTTGATATTGTTTCAGTATTAACCTAATTAGAAGATTGTTTGTAAACAGAATGCTATAGCTGTTAAACCAGTTTTTAAGCCCCCGAAACCGAGTTCATTGGGTATTCAAGAATGTTTTTTGTACAGTAAATAAATTCTCTTATGGCCCACCTTTAATGTTAATTACCTTCGTTACTGAAAACTAAATCAACGATTAACTGTTCAGCTATTAAATCATTTAGTCATTAAACTAATAATCTACATTTTTTAGTTATTTAACTATTTATCTATTTATCTATTTATCTATTTTGCTATTTAACTATTTAACTATTTATCTGTTTAAATAATTAACTATTATACTATTTATCTACTTAACTATTTAACTATTTATTTAACTATTTATCTATTTAACTATTTAACTATATTTAACTGTTTAACTTTTCAATTATTTAATTATTTAACTATTTATCTATTTAACTATTTAACTATATTTAACTGTTTAACTTTTCAATTATTTAACTATTTAACTATTTAACTATTTAACTATTTGACTATTTAACTATTTGACTATTTAACTATTTAACTATATTTAACTATTTAAGTATTTATCTATTTAACTATTTAACTATATTTAACTGTTTAACTTTTCAATTATTTAACTATTTTACTATTTAACTATTTAACTATTTAACTATTTAACTATTTAACTATTTATCTATTTAACTATTTAACTATATTTAACTATATTTAACTATTTAACTATTTATCTATTTAACTATTTAACTATTTAACTGTTTAACTTGTCAATTATTTAACTATTTAACTATTTAATTATTTAACTGTTTAACTTGTCAATTATTTAACTATTTAACTGTTTAACTGTAAAACTGTAAAAGAAGGTAATTTTGTCACAAGGTCAGACCAAGCTGAAGGTTTCAATACTATACTTGCTCAGGCCTCTATTCCATCCCTCTCCCATTCTCTCTCTCTCTTACATCCTCTATCTATCTATCTATCCATCTATCTATCTATATATATCTATCTATCTTTATATCTATCTAACCTCTACCTTCAGCCTCTCTTTGCATCACCCTTTAAATCTTTGGGAAATGAAAAACATAAAAACACACAGTTTAAGCACACATATTGCAAACATGTCGTGGACAAACACACATATTTCAAACATGTCGTGGACAAACACACATATTGCAAACATGTCGTGGACAAACACACATATTGCAAACATGTCGTGGACAAACACACATATTGCAAACATGTCGTGGACAAACACACATATTCCAAACATGTCGTGGACAAACACACATATTGCGAACATGTCGCGGACATACACATAATGAAAACATGTCGCGGACATACACATATTGCAAACATTTCGTGGACATACACATGTTGGAAACATTTCGTGGACAAACACACAATTAACAAACACATCGTGCACAAAAACACATATTACAAACCTGTTTTGCACAAACACACAGATTACAAACATGTTTTGCACAAACACACAGACTACAAACATGTTATGCACAAACACACAGATTTCAAACACGTCGTGCACAAACACACAGAATACAAACATGTTTTGCACAAACACACAGATTTCAAACACGTCGTGCACATACACACAGATTGCAAACACCCCGTGCACACACACACAGAATACAAACATGTTTTGCACAAACACACAGATTTCAAACACGTCGTGCACATACACACAGATTGCAAACACCCCGTGCACACACACACAGAATACAAACATGTTTTGCACAAACACACAGATTTCAAACAAGTCGTGGACAAACACACAGATTGCAAACATGTCGTGGACAAACACACAGATTGCAAACAAGTCGTGGACAAACACACAGATTGCAAACATGTCGTGGACAAACACACAGATTGCAAACATGTCGTGGACAAACACACAGATGACGAACACATTATTAAAGACATAGTGCGCAGAAACATATAAAACAAACATGTAAAATGTTAAATATAATATCTAAAGATTCGTCCAACTAAATCATCAAGATAAACTGTTTTTTTATTTTCAAAACTGTTTGATTCCTACGGCCAGAAAAGTGATGCTCTACCAAATTTTAGTTTAGTTGCTGATTTTGTAATTTAATTTACTGCAAAGATCAATTAATTCTGAAGTCCTAGTTTGATTTGTATATTTTGATACACACATTTATTAACGTTGATCATATCAAGGTACTAATGCAAGGAAAGTTGTTTCAGAGGTGTACGCATCTTTTGTACTGCAGTGTACTGTCTTTGGGCGAAAAAGTAAATACAAAACGGATGTCACCTGGCATGGAATCCATTTTCACAAAAATAATCTATGAAATATTCAGGTCACATGGAAACTTTTCTGTTAATTTTCAAAATTATCAAAATTAAATGCTTTTAACAACCTCGGATACTAAACGAACACTGATGCATCTATTCTTGTTTACAAAGTCCGCCCAGAGAGAACTGGTTTCACTTTGTACGCAGAGTATACGCCACTGCAGCAATTAACTTTCCTTGCATTAGTACCTTCGATCATATCATATATTGGTAAGATTCATTATTAAACTTTAATTGTCACAAATTCTTTGCATTGAGTATATTTTTGCTTCTCCTTAAAAGGGCATGTCTGGCTAGACACTGTAATTGAGCTGATACACAGAGCATTGTAGAGACTTTTTTTAGAAATCATACAAGACCTGGAAGACGTTTGTATAATTATTTCAGAAAGAATGAAGATTCTATCATTACAATCTTACGGATTATCTAACCTGCTAAGCAGGAGTACAATGGCCGCAACCTGTCAGATTACCGTGCTGCGCAGGCGTACCTCTACAATACTGCACTCTCCGCTTAACTACCATGTCTAGCCAGACATTCCCTTTAAAGTTTCGGAAAATAACATAGTTTCTATTATGATTTCAGTATAAATAATTGGAAAAAGTAAATTGAACTCCAGTTTACTGCATTGTTTATATTGTACTGTATAGTGTATAATGTATATAGATCATTTTTCATCTGAAGATGACATCGGTTTCTATATAGTCGTTTTATAAAGTTTTATCCCTATCACGATTTTTTTTTGGGGGGGAGGAGGGATTTCACCCCCCCCCCATACTGTATTTTTTCTCTATAACTTAAAAACAGTTTACACTAGAGCGCTCAAACTTCTTTACTTTTTCAATTTTATTTTTGAAAACATTTTTGCCCAAAAATGCAAAGATCTACAGATCTTACTAACTTATTTAAAAAGTCCTTGAAAAATGAAATACATGTTTGTCAAAAATAAAAATAAATATTTGTTAGAACATTTTTTGACGTATTTTTTTATTCCAATGGCAAATCATAGGGGGAGGGGGATCCGGATCCCCCCTTCCCTTTCCCCCACCATCTATATTAGTTCAATCTGAATAGGGCTAAGGTATAGTCAGTCAACCTTATCACAAAAGCTTTTTTTCTTCTTCACAATTTAAAAGTAAAAAGAACCGGTGAGGAGAACAAGAGATGGTAGGGTTTTTTTTATTTTTTCATTTATCGTTCGGTAAAGAGTAAGACACATTTCGATATTTTTACTCGTTTAGTAGAAATTTTAATTCGTGCGTTACCTGATCGATTCGTTATTGATATTTTTTCAATTTCGTTCAGAAAAAAATCCTTAAATTTCTATTCGAAAACGATCCTTTACTGTAACAATACAAAAACAGTCTAATTATAAGGCAAGACAAGAAAAAGTACGCTAAATGAATCAACCCCTTTCTAGGGAGATTCTAGTGATAAAGTGTAATAAAAAATCAACAAAATCGATTTTATTTCATTCCAAAAATATTATTTTTCTGGAAGGGAAAAAATTTTTAAATTAATCATCACGAGGCCGAATTTAAAGAATTTGAGCGGCAGCTTAAATTTTAGCCGCGGTTCAAATATGGTTGGTACATGAAAGTGACAAAGGCTGTTTCGCTTAAAACTGTAATCAATGTTTTATGCTTTAAGCTTTAAGCAGTGCTCAATTGAAACCGGTTTTTGGAGGATTTAAGACGCGGCTTTAATTCATTAAATTCGGACACAGGAATGTTTAAGAGTGTTTCATTTTAAAATGGTAAAAACGGCTCCAAGAAAGAGTTGATATTTTTTTTTAAAGTTCTTTTGATTGGTAATATTTTTTTTAACCTTTTTTCATTAAATTTATGTCTTCCATTGATGATATTGAAGTTTATCCATTCAACTCTTGTGTATTTAAAACTTTAAAACGGAGATGCAATATCGTAAAACAACTTTTGAAACTAATATATTATTGATTTTTCCTTATTATCGGAGAATTTGCGATCGACAATTTTTTGTATATGATAACATTACAATCAAGCTATAATGACCATTACAAAATTATGAAAAAAAATGTTTCCTCGAAAATTGTGCAATCTGCTTCCTTTTCTGAAAGGCTTTCAAAATAGCTATTTAATGAATTTAATGAATTTAGATTAAGTCTGGTATACATAGATAAAATAAGGCATTCTGGCAGTGTGTGTTAATTGGATAAAAAAAAAATTAAAAAAACAGCCTCAGACTAAATTTTAAACTAGAAAAAATACATTTTTGTAAAAAAAATCAAAGATGCAAATTTGTTTAATGAAAATGTCATAAAAAATTGAAGAAACAAAAACGCATTGTTCACAGTAAAAGATATTGAAGATATTTTATGATTTGTGCAAACTGAAAGATTATTGAATTGTAAAAACTATTCATGTTTTGTAGCCCCCAAAAATGAAAAAGAAAAGTAATGATTAGGGTTGGAAAATTTTCATTTTTCTTGTTTCTTTGTAATTAATCTAGAAAACTATCAAAAACAACGGTTTTTTAAAAAATTTGAATTTTCGTGCCATCGCCAATGTATTTTAACAATAATTAGATTTTTCAAAATAAGTTAATCTTTTAAAATTTTAGCACACCCTCATATTTCCAAGCAGTTTGTTTTCCCATATGCCTTGAACTGCTTGCCATGTGCCTGAAATCCTGAAACTGGGTTGCATACATACACATACATTTTACTTTATATCTACTCTAGACATCACAGGAGGTACAAGTAACAGATTATTGAGAAAAAACATATTTTCAAGACGTTTTATTGTAATTATTATTGTAATTGTTGTTTATATTATTATTAAATCATAGGAGGTACTTGTAACAAATTAATAATAAAAAAACATATTTAAGACGTTTTATTGTAATTATTATTGTAATTGTTGCTTATATTATTATTAAATCATAGGAGGTACTTGTAAAAAATTAATGGTAAAAAACATATTTTCAAGACGTTTTATTGTAATTATTATTGTAATTGTTGTTTATATTATTATTAAATCATAGGAGGTACTTGTAACAAATTAATGGTAAAAAACATATTTTCAAGACGTTTTATTGTAATTATTATTGTAATTGTTGTTTATATTATTGTTAAATCATAGAAGGTACTTGTGACAAATGAATGGTAAAAAATATGTTTTCAAAGCATTTTAATGTATTATGCATTATTGCTGTTGTTGATTATATTTTTAACTATAAGAGGTAAATACTGGTAACAAATTATTGATAAAAAACATAATCTTTATTATTGATATTATTTTTATTGTTATTATTATTATCATTATGATAACCATTAATATTTCCATATTCATTGTAATCAGATTATCATGAATTATATTATTATTATTATTATTATTATTATCGTTATTATTTTTGTTATTATTTTTGTTATTATTATTATTATTGTTATTATTTAGATGTTGTTGTACAGTATACTATTATTATGTACTGCTGGATACACTCAAGCTAGCTGTTTTGGAAAGGATGCCGGCTTTAGTCCTGCCAATGTAAATATCTTTGATTTTTTATTTTTTTCTCATTTTTTGAATTTTCAGTATAAATACAAAAAAAAATTTGGTTTTAAGGGTTCTTGGAAATTTGTAGAAAAAAATTTGTATCCATTAAAAATGTGATATTTTTATATTTATTTAAAGAGACATGTCAACGTAATTTAAATTTTTTAAGTGTGTATATGGTCTCTTAAAGTTTGTATATGGTCCCTTAAAGTTTGTATATGGTCCCTTTAAGTTTGTATATGGTCCCTTTAAGTGTGTATATGGTCCCTTTAGGTTATGTAAATATTTACTTTTCTATGTATTCAGGGCAAGCCTAGTATCAGTCAACCCTCCCGGAGTGATCCTGCAAAAGTGCTGGTTGAGTGGTCAAAAATAGTGAAAAATCCAGAGTAAGTAAAAGAATGTGTCAGATCTTTCCCTAGGATATTTAGAAAGATTAAATATTTCCCCTGTAGAGAAACACACCATGCAGTACAGTACAGTTTTGGTGTATTGCAAAGCAAAAGTGATTTAAAATAGTAAAAAAGTAAGTAAAATTTGCAACCATAACTGTTTTTTGTTTTTACTCCGAGAGAGATTTGTTCTTTACCTTGCAATTTAGGCACTTAGAGCTTAATTAAAATGCGAGGGCTTGAGTCTTAAGGAATATACATTGACCCAAAATGTGCATATTTTCACGCAAAAATCTATTAGCATTTTGTCAACTACTCATTTTAAGCTGAAGCTAGAAACAAGCTTAATTGTAGGTAAAAATGTACAAAAATGTAGAAATGAGTCAGAAAAGTAAACGCGAACCCGAAAAGTCAATCCAGTTTTGAAAGTTATTGCACAATTTCACAGCCGCCTGGATTTTTGTGAATACTGCCTAATTATGCATACTTTTTCTGGATATGATATGCACACATCTTAGGCTATAAATCTCCTTCAAAGTAAATTTTTTTCATTTTTTCAATTGATTTGACAAATATTCAATCATTTTAGCATATTTGAATCAGCGCCCGGCATAGAACTTTTCAAAACTGATCCAAAACTTGTTATTTTTTGGATTTCTTTTCCCAAAAACTACTGTATATCTTAATTTCCACACATTTATTTTGCATCTATATACATACTTTGCTTCTTTGTTTGTTTGTTTGTATCCAATAAACGTTAAAACGGCAGAACCGATTGGGCCCAACTTTTTTGTAAGACTTCACATGTCCCCATGGTTTATGAATGATCAGTTAGAATGTCATTAAATTTCGGAAATCCACAAACTTTTTTTATAAAATACGCAAACATTTCGTTTTGATTTTGTTTTACCATGTACACAAAGAGAAAAAACCTAAAACCTAAAAATAGAATTTAAAAGCTTTAAACTTGAAATGTATGAACATCATTAATATGGATCCCCCCCCTTTCCCTCCATCAGTTTATAAAGGGTTAAAAAAATTTAAAAACATTTTTGTTGATATTTTCATAAATTTGATTTTTTATTAAATATTATTTTTTTTCTGTTTAGCTGCGTAGATACATACTCTCTTCTAGTATGGGCTGATGGTACTCCACCCACAGGAGCTACTAGGTAGGAGTGCTTGATTGTAGAAGCACTTGATAGTAGGAGTACTTGATGGTAGGAGTAGGAGTACTGATGGTAGGAGTACTTGATGTTTGGAATACTTGATGGTTGAAGTACTTGATGGTTGAAGTACTTGATGGTATGTGTACTTGATGTTAGGAGTACTTGATGTTAGGAGTACTTGATGTTAGGAGTACTTGATGTTAGGAGTACTTGATGGTAGGAGTACTTGATGGTAGGATTCCTTGATGTTAGGAGTACTTGATGGTAGGAGTACTTGATGTTAGGAGTACTTGATGTTAGGAGTACTTGATGTTAGGAGTACTTGATATTAGGAGTACTTGATGGTAGGATTCTTTGATGTTAGGAGTACTTGATGGTAGGAGTAATTGATGTAAGGAGTACTTGATGGTTGAAGTACTTGATGGTTGAAGTACTTGATGGTAGGATTCCTTGATGTATTTAATCTTTTCTCAGGGTAAATTGTCTTTGAATAGATTTGATAAGATATATATATACTATATCTTATTTATATATATATAAAGTTTTTATATGATATTTAAGATTTTATTATAAACTGGAGAAGTGTGTCAGTGCAAAGTGTTACTAGTACACCAGTATTTAAAAAATTATTATTTTCAGGTATTCGTTGGATAAAAATACCAAATCTAAGATAGTAGATGTGCAGCCCTGTGTAGGATATAGGTTTGCTGTGGAGACAAATGAAAAAAATACTTTAGGTAAAAACCATTTGGATCCCCGTCCACGATCCCTCCACGCAGTTTCTCATTCCCCCCCCCCTTGTAAAGCAGAAGATGGAAAAAATAATAAGAAAAGGTAAGAACTTAACAGTGGGCCTTGTTTTAGTCTCAAACTATGAAACCCTACCTGAAAAGTTCCAGAGTAACTTTATTCTGTAATTTTTCTTTTTATTTCTTTTAAAAGATGATTGAGCGGATGCTCATGCAATCAACATTTATACTTTTTTTAAAATATATATGTCGCTGGTTTTCCAGTGTTCAGTATTCAGTTTTAAGTTCTATGCAGAGGGGGGGGAAAATATTCTTCTTTAAAAGTGAAAAAATAGAAGAAGTGCGCTTAGCTAAAATAAAATAATAAAAAATAATCAAAAATTTTAAATTTATAACCAACTAAAGGGTCAAAATAATTTTGTACTGAATTCGTTTTTGGCACTAAGTGAGTGGGTAAACTAAAAAAGAAATTTAAAGATTAGAAAAATGTTTCCTAAATTGAAATACTTGGGCTGTCATGTACTGTAATTAGGGATGGATCGTTTTCAAAAAAAAACAAAAAACTAAAACTTTGTTTTTTGAAACGGTCGTTTTTTAAAACGATTAACAATCCTAACTGAAATTAACTTTACCACAACTCTTATATTGTACTGCACTGTACGGTGGTAAGCGATTATATCAATACAATGAAGACGACTTTAGATTTCTATTTTTATATACAGGGTGTCCCACGAAACATGACAGTATGCAGGACGACTTGAATGTCGTCTTGATTTTTGATATAATTTGCTGCGTTTATTTGTCAACTTAATTTTAGAAGTAAATTTCTAGAGATATTAATCACAAAATTTCCCTTGTCCTGCCATTTCCAAAATGTGGTCTGCCTTTTTTTTGCTTTCAGTATTGCCAGAGATATGAAGAATTTCGTTCAGATTTCGACAATTTTGCTTTTATTTCAGAAAATTGAAATCTGAACCAAACTCTTTATACCTCCGGTAATATTGAAAGCACAAAAAACGCAGACCACTTTTTGGAAATGTCAGGGCTAGGAGAATTGTGTGATAATTGTTTCCAGAATCATGCATGTTAAAGTAGATAGAAGACTAAAATTCACAAATAAATTCAAATACCAAAGACGACTTTCAAGTCGTCTTCCTATTGTCATGTTTCGTGGGACACCCTGTATATCAAGCTGTTAAACAGCATGAATACACAAAAACATGGAAACAAAGAGAATGTTCAATTTAAAAAGCTTTTCTTTAGTGTTTTTGTAAACTTGTAATTCAAAAAAAGTTGGTGAACAATAAAATCTTGAATAAAAATGTCGTCTTCGTTATGTTGCTATTAATACCTACCATTGTATCTTGATAGACTGTATTATATTGTAATAGCAAGACAACTTTTTGTTTCATACAGTCGTCAACCAACTTTCACATATATGATTCTTGAAACAATAACCACGAAATTCTCCAAGTCCTGATATTTCCAATGAATTGCATTCAGATTTCAATTTTATTAAATAAAAGCAAAATTGTCAAAATCTGAACAAAATTCTTCATATCTAGTTCTGGTAATACTGAAAACACAAAATAGGCTGACCACATTTTGGAAATGCCAATACTAGGGTTATTTTGTGATTATTAACTTGATAATTTTATTAGACGACCTTCAATTTATCTTGCTACTGTTATGTTTCATGAGTATCATAACTATAATCCTGTACAGGAACTAAGACCGAGAAGAGCGGAGATGAACTGTTCAGGACTGCTGGAGCTCCACAAACAATATCTCCTGATGCATCCAAGTAAGAAATATTAAACAAAGCAATCAATCAATCAATTGAACCCAGTTCTATAGAGCACTTTATATGTGTAATTGCAATTAATGAATGAGTTGTCATAATCAGAAACCTTCCTCAAGGGATATATACATCTTTATGATCACTTTTCCATTGAGATATTTAAGGTATGTTAAGTCTTTTACATTTTTGTTTTAAGATTTCATGTGACCTACCACTGGGACCCTGTCAAGAAAGTTGTTGATTTAAGGTAACTTACTTACATGGGAAGTATTTAAATTAAATTTTATTTCACTTCAACCTTTCCTATATCTTTTGGAAATTTTTAAATATAACATAAATTAACTATGTTTAGACAAGCAACCATATCTATCCCTCGTGATCTTCTCCCTGGAGCTAGTTGTCTAGATTATATTCAGGTTAAGCATGATTTTAGACTTTCTTTTTTATTATGATACGGAATATATTATAATGAAACCCTTTGTTTATGTAGACCTGCATGCTTAAACTATCTTGCGTTTCCTTTCCAATTCAATCTAAAATTTAATTGTCCTGAAATTTGAGTTTTTATCATGAAAAAGATCTATATAGGTTACTGGAAGCCAAGTAAGATCTACTGCACGCTCTGGATCCTCCAACCCTACCAAGTCTCGTTCATTTTCCTGGGGCCATCTTGGAGAGGTTAGTTTTTCTAGTTTATCTCAGCAAATCTGTTGTTAACTCAGATTTTTCTTAGAGCACATTTAATCCCAATATACAAGTTGGAGGAGCTTCAACTCTTCCTGCCTCTACCGGGGGTATTTCATACAGTGGAGCTGTTAAGGGAGCAACTCCTCCTCGAGGACCCTTGGCACAAACTTATTCAACCTCCTCCAGTGGATCTTCAAGTCCATACAATAGTCCTCCAGGATCCCCCACAGGAGGCAGAGCAGGATCAGCAATAACCTTTCCATCACCAACCTACTCAAATACTTTACCAAGAGCTACTGGGGGAGCAACAACTCAAGTTGGCCCCATCAGAGTTCAGCCACCATTCCTTAACCCAATTGTTGAAATCAACATTGCCGTCCAAGGTATCCTACAGATTTGCTTATCACGTTTTATTATTTAAAAAAAATTCTATAGACTTATAACTTCTTTTAGATTGCTCTGAATATGACTTTGAGATAAAATTCTTTGCACCTGGCAGTAAGGAGGTTGGCAAGGTGTCCCATGTGAAGTTACCACCTCTAGCAGATGTTCCTGGTTATATTCCTCCTCCAATCACCTCGGTTATGTCCATCACCTATGGGTCCAATGGGAAGCCTGTGTATGGAGTCAAGACAAGCAGTGGAGTTACAGCAGCTTGCCTGCCTTCCTACTTTGAGGCATATGACTCCTACACACATAGGTAATTTCAAACCTGTGTTGTTTAAACCAATGCATTGTCTATGTAATAAACCTCTTTGCTCATATATATGTAAGCAATGGCTGGCCATATTTGTTGTTAAAATTCTACAGGCAACGCCATGCACTTCAGCTGGTAATTCATAAAAGATGTAAGAATATATTCTAGAAACCAAATCTGGGACCAAATTAAATGTATTGTCGAGGTTGCTGATCTCCCATGTTGGCAAATCATGAATCACTTACTCAAATTCTCTTGAATCTTTGACTTTAAAATTTAAACTGTTGACAGATATTTTAGTGATCTAGATTAAATTCAATAAATTCAAACCCTGAGCCCGCGATTTAAAAACTCGGGAAATTACGGCTATGGTCTAAGCTGTTGTTGGACCTTATTTTCGGCTTGAGCTTTCGGATTAAAGTTGCATCTTATTCTCCACTAAAACCAACCAAGGTTGGTTTTATTTTCATTGGGCCTAATTCCTTTAGTCGAGCCGAAGATCTTGCTGCTGTCAATCACGTGACACAAGCTGTCGTCAGATTTGGGTCAAAGATCGGGTCTAAAAGTCGGGTTTAAGGAATTACAGCTCGAGTCGAAGTTTTTAAATCATGGGCTCTGGAATCATAATCGTAATCAAATATAAAACAAACTGTTATTAAGATTGGAGAATGAGGTTAACTTCCAGCTTCATGAAGGGAAAAGAGTTACAAGCCTTGTTTCCAACAGCCAGGTCCTTTTTTTATTGACACCTTTTCAAGCATTTTTCTAAACTGCGGGACATGGCAGTCAATCAACTCCTTGACAAAGCTCAAAGCCCAGAAAATGTTTGTAAACTTTAGAACTCTATCAATTGTCATCCTAAATCTGAAAAAATTACATTCAAGTGATAGACATATCTAAAAAGATTTGCTTGGGACTATGTACATTTATGAAAAAGTGGTTTAAAAAATTGCTTTTTTGAAAGTGAATTCGATAATTTGCTAAACATATAAATTTTCTCTTTCTATTTAATCTTATTTATTTAGCTTTTATTTGATCTTCATGCTAAATATTTGTGTTGATCAGAACCAGCTCTCAAAGTCCCAAGAAGAACTTCTGCGTAAGACGGGATGTGTGTGCACCTCCTCAATCCTGCAATTCTCAACAACTGATAACGACCTTTTAAAGAAATATAGGGAACAGTTTGGAATTTATGAATTCCAGGTAAATATTTTTTTAAATGAAGAATCTTGTTATTCAATAAATCTCATGATTTTAGGGCATGCACAATGAACGTCCATTTTACAAGCTGACTTCAAATGACATCAATGCTCCAGCTCCTGTACCAAAGTATACAATATCAATAATTAGTAAAAATTAAAGTATTGTTATATGTATATGTATATGTATATTTTTTCTAGTATTCCTACTGGCACAACAACCTCCCGACCTAGTATCACCACCACAACTGTCAGCTCACCTACAACCCTTGTAAGTAGATCAGACATTGATAAAATCATTCTTATTGAGAACTAAGAGAACTTGATTTTTGTTTTATGAACAGGCGACAATGTTTTTGTTCTGGGATGCTAAGGAAAAGCAGTGGATGTTTACACCAACTCTTGGTAAGCTCTGAGATAAACTTTTGCACTTGACTTGTACTTTGACCTTGGAATTGCACGACATTTTCTAGAATTACACTGAATTAAAGGGCTCACAATTGTGCGCAAATAAAATTTGCTTGCCTTGGAAACCGTAGCTTTTACTTCATGCTTTGCAAAATCAATACAAATGATTTTCACTACAATTTGTATAGGAAAGGACAGTAAGATAGAGTTTGGCTCTGTCACCAACAGTCTGGCCAAGTGCCCTGGTGACCCTCCAGCAGCTTCCAACTGGCAGTACAAGTCTAGCGTACTTGGAAGGTAAGAGACCAATATTTCCTATTTTACATTCCTTATCCTATTCCGACTGATCTGTACGCTAAAGTACATTTCCGTTTAACAACAATTTGAACACTATTTGAGAGATAAACACATGGAGTTCTGAGTTCTTCAATGATCAGTTGTTGTAAATCAGGCCTTATCATCTTTGCATCGAGGGTCACTTGAAATTATACTCATAGTCGCTCTATTCTGTTTATAATACTTAAACACCAGATTTATGCTTATTACTGCAGAAGCTCCAAAAATATTGATGAACTCTATGGAGGCTTATTTTTAGATGGAAGAAATCAGCTGACCTGAAGGTTGCATGCCAAGTCAAGATTTAAGAAAAACAGATCTCAAAACAAATGAAATCTGGATGGATCTTTAACAATATTTTTGATTTATAAAAGGTTTTTAACTAAAACTCTCCGATTTACTTCAACGAAATTGTAATTTTATATTATGTAATAAACTAGATAAATAAATTTGAAAAGAATAAAAGAGAAAGAGAAGGGTAAAACTGAATTAAAAAGAAAAAATGCTTTGATTTCATTTGTATATAAAAGGTTGAAAAGAGAATATGTAAAATAAGGAAAGAAAGAAGATCAGGGGTAATTAATTTTATAAAGAAAGATGAAAAGAAATAAAAAGATTTCATAAGATAAAAAGGAACTAAACTAGAAAAAAAAATAAAAAAGTAAACAAATAAGAATATGAATATATCAAATAAACTAAAATATTAAGAAAAAAGACCACAACAAGTAAAGTACAAAACAATCAAAGAAGATTGAAGAAAAAATGTGATACTTTTTTGCATATTTCAACCTAAAAGTTTTAAATTACTAATTTGTTTATTCTAAAAGATTTTCTCTCTTATCTTACAGTGATAACCTAAAAGCTTTGGAATTAAAAGTTAACTTTTAGACTCTTAAGATATGACTTTAAAGGGAGTGTTCGCGAAAAATGAAAGGGGGCATAGGCTTAATGCGATAAAAAAGCGCTTTTGATCACTACTAATCTTACTTCTATATGTTGCGTCTATAAGGAAAAAATTGTTAAAGACGTCTCATACCGAAGAGCGTAACGCCCATACAAATTGAGGAAGTTGGTACATACGACTTAGACCGTAAAAAAATCAAATTAATATTAAACAAATCATTCAGATATTACAACCTATAGTCATCGATTATCTTTCGCCGCATTTTTATATGTTTAATATTTCATACTAGTTTTGATTTTGTTTTTTAAAATAATATTTAGCTTACAACTTGTTTTCGAACATTCCTGGAAAATATGAAAATGTCGTCTTCATTACCAAAAATCCTCGAAACAGGAATAAATGTTTTTATAAGTAACTCTCAGATCATAACAATTAAAACATATTATGAAAAATCAACTATATATAAATGT